AGTAGGGCTGCTGTTGACTCTTGCTACAAGAAAGCTTTATGGACTCAGATGAGCTGAGTCTATTCAATGTTTATTTCACCAAGCATTTTATTACACAGACCTTGAAATATATCTGACTGACTGCACAGGCAAAGTAACAAGGTTTACTCCAGCAGCCCGGCTGCAGCTTTCAGGTGAGCACAGGAGCACAGGGCAGGAGCTGCTGGGGTGACCCCAGGCATCACCTGACAATGCACTTTGCAACACCGTAGATGGAACATAAGGAATTTTTGTTAGATATTGAGAGAAAACTTGAGTGTATCCAACTGACTGCAAAATACTTCCAAAGAGAGGTATTTTGGTCCAGCCCAGCCTGGATGGAAGGTGCCCACACAGGGGGATTTGGGAGCTGTGGAACACTTATCCCAGCAATGAGAAACCTCAGGAGCTTTGTCCTGCCCCCAGCCCTGCTGACGGAGACCCAGCGGCTGCCGAGGGCTGGTGCTTCCTCAGCCATGCCAGGGCTGTGCCTGAAGTAGGGCCCAGGGGGAAGGAAACCGCTTGCCCATCAGCAGGGCTTCAACCTGCAGGATCGAGAACATGTTATGGGAAGGAATGGAGAGGTTCAATCTAGGCAGGTGCTGTGCAGGATGGTGGCATTTGGGACAGGGCTGGCTGGAAGCAACAAGTGAGTTATGGATGGAACCATTGCCGGAGGAGCCGCTCCACGGTGCAGCCGAGGAGCAGGCAGGGCCCAGCTGGGGGCCGAGAGTGGTGGGCTCGGCTCGGCCAGTCAGTTCTCTGCTGCATTAGTGACGCCGGGCCGGGCGGCAGCAGGGCCGGCACAGAGCTCCCAACCCGGGTAAAACCCGAGGGCTCCCGCCGCGGCCCGACAGAAAGACGGAAAACAGCGCCCACCCGGTGTCAGAGCGCGATTGTCCCAGCGGGGGCAGCGCCAGCCCCGCCCGCGGCCCGAGCCCCCGCCCCGCCGGCCGGGCGGGAGGGACGCGGGGCGGCCCCAGCGCGGAAATGGCGGCGGCGCGAGGTGAGGCGGCGGGAGCTCCTGGCGGGGAGGGGAATCCGGCCCTGCTCCGGCGCTCGCTCGCAGGGCACGGAAAGGCCCCGCGGCGCAGGGAGCGCGGGCCGCACCGGGGAGCGGGGGCTGCCCCGGGAGCCGGCCGGGCCCCGTCTCCGTGCAGCCCGAGCGGGTCCTTCTGTGGTGGCGCCGCCGAGGCCCGGCCTGCCCGCTCTCGGCCTCCTGCCCGCGGCTGTCCCCGTAACCCGTGTGGCCCCCGCCGGGCCGGGGCCGGTGAAGGGCCGCCCCCGCCCGCAGCGCTGTGCCCGGGACGCAGGTAAGCGCTGCCCGCCCGCACGTGGCCAGGGCAGTAGCTGGGGCGGCGTGGGCCATCCTACTCCTGGTTTTGGTTTTGGGATGTAGACCGAGACGCTGCTTTTGGCTGCCTCTGCCTTTCTGGGGCTGTTTAAGCCGCAGGTTTCCCTCTGCAGAAGCCCACTTTTATTCAGCGCCAACCGTGGGATGAGGACCCTTTTGGCAGAGTGTGCAGCTCCTTGCAGCCATTTCACAAGCAGTTCGGGTCTCAATAATGCTTGTATCAGAGCAAGTAAAGCTTAAAAGTAAGCTGGGCCCGGACAGCTGAGTCCCAGTGTATACTGGCAACTGAGCACACCAGCATAAACTCAATGAAGAGAAAATTCAACAAAAAGGCAGCATTGTGTGTTGGGCTGGCCCAGGACTGTGCAGTGGAGTCCAGGTGCTGAGCTGAACAAGAAGCAGGGCCTCACCTTTGCACGGTCCCTGGCAGATTTGCTGTGCACTGCTAATGAGTGATGTCAGTTCCTGTTGGAAACAGAGGTGGGCAATTAAAAAGATTCAGCAGAGTTTGAGGACAGGAACAGGGAATTGCTCTCCTAGCTGAATGGTTAGGCTCTGCAGTCTCCTTTAGGAGGGTACAGTCAACTCCTGAGACTTTCCCAGAGTTTTTTATGGAGATTCATCTGGAGGACTAAGAAAGTGGAGCCAGTGGCATTATATTGACTCCACTGATACTATCCTCCTAAATTAAATGGTGGAAGAACAAGGCCTGCCTGTGAGATAAAGTCAGGGCCTACTTTATCTACCTACAAAGTTTTAATAGCAGTGAGAGGGATCAAGCTAAAAGTCATGTGTTTCTGTAGAAAATGGTGGGGGTCTTTGGTTTGAATCAAACACACTAAACCATATTTCAGGACTGTTGTGTTTTCTCTTGTATTTTTGCTTTTGAAGTTGTCTCCTGTGTTTTTGCTCATAGGCCCGTGGGTCCCTTTGTTCCCGGCTCCAGCACTGGGTGAGGAGGGACACTGGACGTGCCTAAGGATTATGGTAACCAGTTTGAAAACTCTTGTCTTCAGCATTAGATGGTTGGTGTTAACTCTGAGAACTGGTGCAGCCTTGTGAAATGGCTTCACGTGATGCCCTCCAGTGGCAACAACATGTACAGGTATTTGAAATCACAGGGAATAGAAGTGGTTCTTTTGACCCACTCTGAAGGGGTTTGGGCAGCCCTGGCAAAGTCCCCAGTTAGCTGCTGGGTGAGGCATGGTTGGGGGTATTCTGGCCTTTAGCAGTTTCTGCTGTTTCAAGCTCTACAGGGATGCATGGATCACTTCTGCACATCAGGGCAGCCTGTGGGGTTCAGCTGACCAATACCAGAGCTTTAGGCATGAGCTCATGTCCTTCTCAGAGGATGAATTCTGCTCTCTGCCAGTAAATGCACATAGTAACAAGGACCAGGAAGAAAAATATTACGAAAATAACCATGAAAAATGCATCTTGCAGCACATAAGGTCAGAGACAAGGACAACTGATTTTTAACTGACTGTTGCCCTTCTATATGATCTAGTTCAGCCAGAGTTCTGTAGACAGGCCAGAGATAACTGATTTTGCCTCATCTAAGATACCTTTCAATGTGGAGAAATAGCTCTCGGATTGACAGCTCAACACAGCTCTCCCAAGTTGAGTGATATAGCCAGGATTCCAGACACACATGGTGTTAGCCTGCTCCAGGGCACCGTGCTGGACCTGTTAATGCCCTTTGGCTTTAGTAGGAAACTCGCCTTTCACTGTCAAATACAGCTTCCAGTTCTGTGCAGGGTTTGACCCTCACTCACAGGCTTAGAGATGTCCTGCTCTTCTGATGGGCTTACACAGAGAGATGGGGTTGATGTGAATTTCCAGCTTGGCTGTCATGCTGGTCTGATCAACTGCAGTGGAAGTGGTGGTCTCTCTATAAAGGATTTATATAGAGGTTGTTCACAGCAATAGCTGGTTTGAAAAAATTCGAGTTGTCCAAGTTTCCTTTGCTGCATAAATATTTAAGGGATTCCTGAGGAAGAAGAACCTTTTATTAAACAGAAACATGCAAATTCATTTCCCTTACTGTTTTTAACCTAGTAGCCAATTATTGCTTATTTCTTCTTTTTTCAGATAGTTCTGTTGCTGCCTTACCTGTCCTGTACCATGCCTGGTAGTGACCACTGGAGTCTTTCTGCTGAGCAGGCTAGTCAGCCATCAGGCCTGTGTTCTCCAACAGATTCATCGAGCTGGGAACGTAATAGAACTGTTTGGTTCTATTATGAGTCCCACTGCAAGGGTGTCCTTGCACAGTCCTGCCAGAGGGTTGGGAAATTCTGGAGATTCCCGGTTCATTTCACCAGTTGAAAAGTATGTTGGATTGGGTTTTAGGTGAAAGACTAATCCTGGTGCCAGGATACAGCTATGGTTTAAACACTTGAGGTGAAAGCTGGTTGTGGGGAGCAGAATGGTGGGTTCACTGGCAGCCTTTGTGTCTTAAAGGCTTTATTGGGAGTTTCAGACATCCTCACACCTCTACTCGGATAGCTGTGTTTTACACTCTTTCAGGTATCTACTTAAAAAGAAGAGTGGGGCTCTCAATTTCTGGCAGATACAGGTAAAACATGTTCCAGTGGGTGGAATTTGGACACAGAATCAAGGTGTGCGTTTTTAAGCAGAGAATGGTGCTTTCTCTCCACTTCATTCCCCAGCACAGGAGCTGCTTTCTCTGGTACAGCTGTGCCAGGATCACTGGGGTGCATGGCCATCTCCTGCCCTCTGCACTGGCAGTGGTTGCTGGCTGAGTTACCTGTTCGTGGTGAACACAGGTTCCTTTGCTCACTGCCAGACATAGCAACTGAAAGTCTCTGGCCCGCTTAGAGGGAGTCTTACAGGGTTACCCAAACAACCCTTTCTGCCCTGGAAATGGCTGAATTCTGGGTAGGCTAAGAAATGAGACTGAACTTGCATAGCTTAGTGTTGCTAAACCCATCCTTTGAGGCTTGCAAAATAAATAGAAATCCAAGAGCAGATGGTCCTAATCACTGCTGTAGTGAGATATTCTAGTCCTGGTTTTATGGTTTCTGAAGGCCTGAAGCTATTTGGGAAAGAACAGACAAGCTTTTGATACACAGTTCTATGTCAAATCTCTTAGTTTTGCCAGTGGCATTTATTCATAGAGACCCTGTATATTGAAGAGGCCCCTGCCTGTTCCTGGCTATCCCCTAGAATGGAAACTTGAATCAGTGAATTTTGTAATGAACATGCAATAAATCTGTGGAAAAGCTTCTCTGTTAATGACTCTTGATTGAGCTCAGGTAGTTTTGACATACACGGGTGAGGCTGTTTAGAGCTGTCTTGATCATCTGGTGTCTGGAAATGAAGCCTGAACAAGGACATCTCAACTGAGTGCTGGGCCAGAGTCCTTCCAGCCCCATGGATACCCAAAGCTTCAAGGGCACAGCACTGATGCGAGAATTCTTCAGTGCTCAGGGGGGGAACAGATCTGTGAGGGTGGAGGGAGGTTACACCCAAGTGGAGATGAGCATAGCTAAAAAGAAACAGCTAAAAATGATGGTTTTGGTTTCTCTTTTAAGAGTAATGGAGCACTGCAAAAAGCCTGTCTGGTTTTTTGTTTTTTCCCTGGATGAGTGAATGAGGAACATGGGCATTCTGTAAAAGTGTCTTATATTTGAGACTGTAGTGCACGCTTGGGTATTTCAGAAAGCCTCACTGGGTATGTAGGCACTAACAGTTCACACACAGGGGAGGCGTATTTGATTATCTCGTGTCACAGGCTTCATGTAGCAACAAGAAAACTTGATTGTGAGATCAGCTTCATGGTTGGAGTGTTTTCAGCTCTAGCAGCTGTACACTGTTCATGCCTTTTGCTATTTTTGTTTTTCTTTGAATGTTTGGCTCTTCAGCAGCCTCAGGAGTAGAATTAATGATTGCTCTGGAACTAGGAAGTTCCCTGGGCATCAGATGGGTATTGGGGTCACCTAAGTAATCACCCAAATGATCCAGCTGCCACTGCTGCATGATGACAGTGTCACCTCTGAGAAGGATGGTATCTCTTTCTAAGTGGAGAATTCTGAGATGCTGATGGATCTTGTGACCATAGTGGCTTTCTGCTAAGATCCTTCCTAAGAGGATGTAACTTGTAAGGGCTCAGGCCTGGCAGTTGATCTGGGTCAGGGTTGCTTTGCTCTTCTTGTTAGGAAACAGCTGGTTTACAGGGAGTGTGATGGAGCAGTTGATGCTGAAAGAGGGCATTGCTTAGGGCAGATGTAGGTGTGGTAGCGGCAGAACACAGGTTATAGGAGGGCAGTCCATGGAGGCGTTGTAATTCCAGTACGTATCCGTAAGATACCAGGTGTTTCCAAAGCAAAGCAGGGGTGGACATAATGCTGGAAGCGTGAGTTGAATGTGTAAAGGTGCTGGGCAATATCTGCATTGAAAAATGACAGTCTGCAGTTCTCGTAGTCCAGCAGGATGCCAATCCTTGTAGGGGGAATAGTAATTCTGATGTCTGGTGTCATCCCGCTGTGCAGGAACTCGTACTTGTGCCTGTAGGTGAGAAACACAAAAGACCTGAGGGCACCCTGGCTGCTCTCAAAGGAAAGGACACAGATGTGTGCCAGGGTATACTTCCCAATTCACAGTCCTGTCCCTCCTGCATGCCCTGTGGTTACTGCCCAGTCCCATCCACGCTGCTGAGCAGCGGCTGTGTTTGCCAAGAGGGTGTGTCCCTGTGCTTCCACACAGCCATATCCCACAGCTCTTGCACCGGTGCCTGTCTAAGCTTGTTTCAGATCCCAGTCTGGCTGTGAATGGACAAGGTCAGAGCACAAGATGGAACTTTCTGGGCTTTTTCCATGCCTCAGAGGACAGCGTGGGTGTCCTATAAATCAAAGGGTGCACTGTTGCCCCTAGGTTTAGCTTGAATTTGTCCCTTTCTCCATGAAGGAGCTGTGCTCTTTTAGGCCAGTTGGGTTTACCCCAGAAAGACCATTGTCATCTCCTAAGACTTTCCCCTGGGAAGCTGTGGGCCCTGCCATGGAGGGGGTGGTGAGATGACTCAATCCTGTCCTTCCAGGCACTTACAGGCTGCCAACTTGCTCCCTAAGGACCTGTGGTGCTGAGCCCTCTTTCCTGCCAGTGTTACAGAACTGCTCACGCCCACCTTCACAGCAGCAGCAAGGGACTGTAGTATCTGAGGCAGAGGCTGCCTGATGCACAGCATGGCCAAGCATCCTCCAGGCTGTTGGACATCATTTGTCAAACCCCACTCTCTAAATTATGGTTTTGGCTGCTTTTCCTACAGGACCTCCCTGCTCAGCCTGTGTTCATGGGGAAATTTCAGTCTTTATGTTCATTTACTACAGAGTGATTGTGATTCCTGTACTGTGGATTATTGGAGGCCAGGAAGGTGCTCTGCACGTAAACAGCTTTGTCATGAGGGTAGCCCTCCCCATGTAGTCACTAAGTGATGCCGAGGTCCCCTAACAGTTACTCAAACAGCTCTCTCTAGTGTGGCATGCTGCAAACGAAAAGATGTATGAGACGTGCCTTTCTGAGCAGAAATGAGATTTATTCAGCTGAATGAGTTATCTGGCATTTTCTAAGGGCCACCTCATTCACTACCCACCTCTTCCACCCACATTGCTCAAACCTGAGACAATTGCCCTGCAGAAGTGGGTACAAGCTGAGCAATGGCCCAGCTTCCTTTTCTCTCTAGAGTCCGTGCTTATTGCTCCAGAAGAATGACAACAAACCTCAAGTACCTCTTCGCTCAAAGTAGCAAGGAAATCCAATTAGCCTGCCTGCAGTGTATCATTAGCTGTGGTGGGTTTGGCTTTCCTCATTAGAAGCAGCATTTCCTGCTGTGTGGAAGGCAGATGCTGGCACTGCTGAGGACTGGCTGTGCAGCTGCTGCCCTGCTGGGCAGCCCAGAGCAGCGGGTGCTGGGGAGGAGTGAGGGCTCCAGCCAACTGAGTGCATCTAAAACCTCCCTGTACCGGCAGGCAGAGGACAGGCAGATTTGGGCCCCTGCTATTCCATCCTTACCATTTTCTGAGTGCAGGGTGCTGTCCCATCTCCCTATTCAGGGGGACCCAGCAGCACCCTGGCACCTGTGGCTGGCTGAGCACTGAGCCATCCAGGCAGGCAGTAGGCAATGCTTGGGCATGCCTGGGGATGGAACTGTTTTCTTGCTCCTGGATGCTTCACAGGGTGCCCAGATCACTCATGAGAGTCAAAGGCAATGATGCTAATGTAATAGTGTCCAGCAGTGCAACTGAGGCATGAGGGGAGCTGGCATTTCTGCAGGCAGGTATGACCTACTTCCATAGATAGAACAGAGATCAAAACCAGTTGGGTACAACTGGGTTTAGCCAGATACACAGTTTCTGGGTAACTCGGGTTACCTCTGTCTTCCCACTGGGGTTTTGGTAGCCTTTACAGCTAAATTCTGTAACTCCAATTTTATTCAGATTTGTTCCTGAGACTGCCTGTTTCAATGTGAGAATGTCATTAAGCAGGAGGATTTACTTAAATGTTCCAGAATCCTTCCAAGACCAGTTCACAGTGCCACTGATCGAATGTCAGAGGCCCCTCGTTAAGTGTTTGGTCTGGGCTGATATGAAATCTCTTCTGCTCTGCCTGCAGATGTACATGTGGGAGGTGTTCCTGTAGGAGACCTGCAGCCTCCACAGCCTTACCTTGATGGTGTGATGATATGTCTCATGCACCAGGATGAATTGTTTGCCCCCAGGTGACCATGTCTCGGAGTGTTCTCAAAAGCCACGCCAGTTCTGTACTCTGTATCTTCCTCAACTTCCACCTCCCAGTAATGCTTTCCTGGAAATGGGATCAGACTGCCCAAGATTGCAATACATCTGTGGGAGACAGACAGGAATGTGTGCTTTGGCAGAACCTCTCTAGTGCTCTTTATAATGTTTAGGTATGTTTAGGTATGTATATACCTGGACATTACAGATCAATAAACAAGAGCCACTTTTGCTGTCTCCTTGGCAGTGCAGTGTGGATTTTTGACTACAGCAAATTCCCCATGCTGAGGAACTGACAAACAACCTGCAGGTTTCTTTGTGGCATTTGTCTTGTTTTTACCTGTGGGTAGCTTTGTATAAACGAGTGCCCTGGACACTTTCAGAATAGCATCCTGTAATGACTGGGTCTTCTAGGAAAGCTATTACTTGCTAGAAAAGAGAGTGTTATGGTGAACCCCAGTATAGCAGGGGGAAAAGTCTACATATCTTGTATTTTCTTCCCAAACAGCCCAGGGCTTTAAATGTCACTCACCATTTAGGAACTGAGCACTGTAACAGCATGAAATTCCTTGAGGCAGCTGGGGGAAGGAGACCTTCCTACACTGTATTTGAAGAGATCAGGAAGACTTGAATGAGGTAGGAGAACTTGGAATATGCTGGGTACCTGGGCCATGAAAAGTTTTAACAGTGGACTGTGGCTCCTAGCATGTATGATAGAAACCATGTAGAAGATAACTCTTTTAAAAGATGTGTAGGAAAGACAAAGACAATGTACCACAGAGAGACCCTTCAGATTGGTTTACTGGTACAGTCTTGGAGTCAAAGGAAATGGGTGCTTGGAAAATGCAAGTCTGCAAAAGCACAAGTTCTGAAGCCAGGAAGTTGGGCAAAATAACCCATGGTAAAAGCTTCTGAAACACCCTAACTTGACTTAAGAGGACAATATGAATCCTGTAAGACTACACCTCAGCTTTTTCTCTGGAAAAGTACATGGTGTGTTAGCTGTTTTTGTCACAGGGGACAGCAAGTTTGAAACGTACACAACCAATATGTTACTGTTGTAGGGTCTAAAGTTTTAAGTTACAAAGGCAAAGGATGTTGCTGGCAGACACAGCTCTCCTGCCTCTAGGTAATGCTGAAAAAGAGCTGCATTCAGCATTTAGAGGGCCTGGTGTGTAAGGATGGGTACATGCAGCACGATAGCATTGCTCTGCCACTGCAGCAGCAGTTGCTTAAAGCAAGTGTACAGTTCACTGCAAGTGCACATAGATGTCTTGGGAATAGCTTAAAGGCTGCTGAAATCAGGACTTGTGGAGATTGTGCTGCTACAGCTTGAGAAGGAAAAGGAATGATGCAAAATGGATGGGTAAAAATCTGTGAACAAAAATGACCATACTAATGAGAGCTGTATCTTAGCATGAAAGAGAATTCTGAAAGTTCACAGTGGTACCAAAACCTCATCCTTAGAATGAGATAAGTGCTAGCTCTGGCTGTTTCCATGAAACATAAAAGCTCTCTGTGGAAGTGAGATGAAATCCCGTTTAAGCTTATTCATGATGACTTTAATGAAAAGAATGATCGTTTTCCCGACTCTTTTCTACTGAGCTCTCTAGTAACATTGCATTTCCATGGAGGAACTAAGTAGTGGACTTCTATTATCCTGTGTCTGCAGATGCCTGTCCTAGTTATGTGCTGTTTCTGTGGTTTTGACTGGTAGCATGCATTTTGGCAAGCTTAGTCTCTCACTTCAATGGCAGAGGGCCTAATCCTTTTTTGAAAGTAAAATCTGTCAGTCCAAATAGTATCAGTTTTGTCTTTCAGCAAGAGTTAAGTTTTCAGATCCCTCTCCTTTCCTTGGCATTTTTTGGGGACACTTAAAAAATTTAGCTCAATGTGCCAAACATGTAAGCAGGTTTGTATGTAACTGTGGCTATTGCATCCGTAATCCTCTTTAAGAATTTGCATTAACTTCCAAGTGGTGCTTAAGTTCCAAAGAGCAGCTAGAGAGAGAGATTTCAGCTCACAAAATTAATGAGAGCTGCTGAAAGCCCCATTAGACATTTCCTGGCATCTGTTAAAAAACCCAAACTGAAATGCTTCAGTATACCTTGTAAAGCTGTTATCATAGACGGGCAGATCACACTCTGGGTTTTCCAGTTCATCGCATGAAATTGTAAATCCGTCGTCTAGGATTGCCAGTAAAGGATGGGCTGTGTCCTCATTAAGGTAGAAGCAGGTGCCTGCAAGAGAAAATGCCTGAGGATAACTCCAGAAACTTCTTATAGCATCAGGATTTACAGCAAGGGTGTGGTGAAATGATTTTTGGATCCCCAAAAAGATTTACCAGTGCTCTGGAAGGAATCTGTGGCTGACACTGAGAGGACAAGATTGTCTATTTGAAATTTTTCTAATAATTGGTGTTTTACATCTTAACAATGTTTAGTTTCAGCCTTATGAAAAGCAGGGGGGTTAACCTGGTTTTGAACCCTAGCAGGGCTCAAAGCAGCAGGCATTGCACAGGAAGTGGCTATTCAAAGATGTGATGGACTGTCCGGTTTCAAGTGATTTTCCTCAGAGCTGAAGTGATCTGGTTTTAATCATTGAAAGGAGAAAGTGGGCTTAAAGGCCTCTCCATGGCTTCACTCTTCCACATAAATGCAGGGCAAAGTTTGAAGATAAGGGATCCCTTGTCAGATCAGCCCTCAGAGAGGTAAGTCCAGCCCAGGGTAAAAGTGCCTCTGCCTTTCCTCCTGTGGAGACTTCCCAAAGCCGGTCTGACACTGCACTCGGATAAGCAGCCACGTCTGTCACAGCTGCTGTTTGTAGTTGGTGCTTGCATATCCAACCCAGAAAGGACCAAAGGTCATTCACAGTGTTGGAGGAGGGTTCTTGCAGTTGACAGATCAATTTGCATCAGCTGTTTGCATAATGTAGACTCAGAGAAGATAAATCTCCCCATGCTAATCCCAAATGAAATCATTATAATCAAACAGCAAGTTACTTCAATGCAAATACAATACAAACAATGGCAGGGCAATTACAGGCATGTGCTGCTGAAAACAAACACATGCTGTGCAAACAGAATGGGCAATTTCAAATATTGAGTTTGATTTAAGCAGTTGGAATACACACAAATGATGGTAACATAATGACAGTCTTCCTCTGTAGGGATTTGAGGATGAGAATTTCCTTTTTGTGGTGTCACTGATGTGTAGCAGACAGGGGTTTTAGTGAAACGTAACCTTTCAGTTAATGGCTGTTTGGTCAGCTTGCTGAATAAATGCAATTGGCAAATCTCTCACAGAAGGTAAGAGCAAGGTATGAATACATCCGAGTCATGTGGGAGGTTTGAGACAAACTAGTGAAGTTGCAGTGTCATTTCAGCATTGATGAAGGTGAAAACAGGTGTGTGCCTCTAAGTCATCAAAATGAGCTTTAATTAGATGTTTGGAAGGGGAAAGGGCTTCAAACTTCCCTTTGGGATAGGTTAATCCTTGCCCAATGTGGCACTGGGAGCAGCTATTAATGCTGTGTCAGTTGCCAAAAGCAAAGCTTCCAGCTGAAAGCTGGACTGCCTTTTTCCTGATAAATAAAAAGAACCACCCCTTGGAGCTTCCCCAGCCAAGCTGGAGATGTTCTAATGAATACAGAGGAAGATTTTGCATACCCAAATGACTCTAGAAAGTGCTGTCTCAGCCATACTTTCCAACAGTAGCATCATTACAAGGAAATCTCTGAAGTAAAGTAGAATCACACTACAGCTTTCCTCATTGGTGTGTCAGTACTTGGCAAGCTGCCAATATCTGGGGGCGTTGGATTGATACTGTCTTTTAAAATGTTTAGAAATTAGTAACTTTCAAGTATCAAATGTACTGGACAGAAATATTTTTTAAATTACAGAGCTAAAGCAATGCACTTACTGTTACAAAAAGTTGGGGTTTTATTCCTCAAAGTTACCAGGTGTGTCTAATTAGATGTAAGAGATTAAAACCTGATCCAGGGGCTATTGAAACCAGCAGGAATCTTTCTCTTGAGATAATAGATGCAACAATAAGCTGCTGGAGTTGTTCTGAGCTGTACAGTACCTGTGGTGTGTATCAGGACAGGTTCACTTCTTTCACTGGAGCCACCTAGGTTTTGGGCTCTAACACAGATGTGATACCTTTGTGTTGGTTGGAGGTGAATTAGGACTTCACAGTTAGGAATCCCAACAATAGATCTACAGAAAATAAATCCATGGAAAATTATAGGGTAGAAAACAAAGGTAGGCCTTTGAGATTATTTTTCTGAACAACAAAGAAGAAATTATATGATCAGGTTCTTTTGTAACCCATCAACGCTCTACCGTGTACAGTAACAGGGCCAAGAGACCTGCAAGTCTGTGACAGGTGCAGGTGCTTCTGCTCTATTCCCATACCAATGCTCATCCCCATACAGTAATTTTTTATTAACATTTATAAAATTAATTTTACTAAGAGGAATGTTTATACAGGTAAATTCACAAAAAGGTCATGGGACTCAAAAAACCAGTAACTCACTCAGTAATAATATCATCATTTTCTTCATCCGTCAGCTTGTGCAATTCAACCGTGTAGGAATCGACAGGGTTGATGTCTCCAGATTCCCAGCACACCAGTGCTGCATTTTCACAGCTTCGGATCTTTTTACTCTTTATGATAGGTGGTGAAGGAGCTAAAAGGTAGGCAAAAGAACAATTCTAAGTTGTTGCTTGAAGATGTTTGCAACAAATATGCCTTGAAGACTTAAAAAAATAGAACAAAGTTCTTTACTAATACTATATAGTTAAAGAAACCTGCTTCCCAATGGACAATAAACAGCAGGCAGGGCAATTAACAATAGCATTTAAATACTTAATTTGGACTATAAATGTCCCAAGAGAATTACACAAAGTAGTAACATAGAGAATAATTACACAACGTTTTCTTTCTATCATTAGTTTTATCTTTCTCATAAAGACACATCTCTTCTCTGCTCTAAGATGTCAAACACATCTGGAACCAGTACTTGAAGGTCTTACTCTGGCTTGCTCAATCTGATGTCAGGATTTCACACAGTGTGTTTGACTGAACTGCTGTTACAAAGGACAGCATAGTATGGGAATCCACAAAATACCTATAGGCCAATAAAAGGAGAGCTGACATCCATCTGACAGAACTGGGAGACTTGAGCCTTATTGGCAGGTGGTCTACATCCTTGCATTTAAAGAAATTATTTTGTCTTTCTGCTTTTCTTTCTTCAACTCTAAAACAGGGACAACTGGCCTGATAGGCTGTCCAAGTAAAAGCAGGGAATTCTCATGCAGTCAATAGGCTTACATCAGAAGAAACAAAGTGCCCAAAAAGCATTACTGGCATAAAATTCATAGATGACTGTGAATTTCACTAGGAAGGTCCCATGGTCGTATGAATAAAATATTTTTACCTGTCACATAAACTGCTCTTTCACTTGGTGGACTGATACCAGAGGCATTTAAAGCACTGACCCAAAATTCATACTGTGTATTCGGCAACAGATTAGTAATGGTGCAGTATGTTTCTTTGACTTTTAGGGTATGCTCTGAAACGAAAACAACAAAGCATTTACAGTGCTTTTTGACACAGTTACCCACTCTTCCCCAAAGCTGCCTCTAATAATGGACTTGAGGCATGTTGTTTAGTGTGCTGAGTTCAAGAGAGCTCCTTGTGTTCCACACCCTTTGATTAGCTGTCAGGCAGTTTCAGCATGCCTTCCTCTCATGGCTGAGCTTCGTGAACGAAGATTTGAGAAGGCTTTATCCACATTTGTTACAGGCACGTTGGTGACTTATGAGGCCAATATGTGACAGACATATCCGATTGCAGAAGGCACAACAGAAAGACTCCTTAGATGGTGTATGCCTTCCTCTAAAGAGGCATAAATCAGATAACACATCAGCTTCTGAAGAAGCTACATCACTCAGAACCCAAAATCCAGAAAGAAAGATCACCCACCTGTCACTAATTTTTTTTTTTTTCTGAAAAGACCCTGCATTTTCCTACTGCAGGGATACTGCTCAGCTCATCCTAGCGGAGGGACAAGAGCTGAAGCTATTTTACTACCCATTTCTCATTCTTCATCTTAGAAAATTTGCATAGGTTATGCTTTTCTTTCTGAACTAACCAGCTTCCACCTCTATTGGCTTCCACTTTTGCAGGTTCTGCAAGAATCTTATTAGCAAAAGCAGCTTTGTCACAAGAGTGGGACATTTTAGGATGGTTCTGTGGTTCTTTTTTTTGTGTGTGTGTGTGTATGTGCATCGTAGGGAATTACAGCCTATTATTAGCACTGAGATAAACTGTAAAATCACTAAGGGGATTTCAGTGAGTGTGCCGATAATATGATGATTTGGTCTCTAAAAATACTGTGCTTTGCACTGGATGCAGCACATGTGTGCTTAATTCAGTGCCCACCCTCCAGGAAAGGAAATGCTACTGCTGAGACCCAGCTCCATCCATTGTCCCCTTCCCATTCCTGCTATCCATGCTGCTGCCCTGTCCTGTCTTTGCTGCTGTGATGGGTCCTGCTGCAGCCAGCAGCATGGCAGACCTGCCAGGGGAAGAGGGACAAAGCCAGAAGGAAGTGTGGTGGCAGATATGACAGTTTTGGTGACAAAGAGAGGGCACAGAAAGTGCACTGGTTGCCACATTAAGTCCAGAAGTACTTTGGAACCAGCTGGTTTTGCCCCCTTGGGTCCAGGCCTCCTTACCTGCCCGCTCATCACTGTGCCTCTCGTTGCTCACTGGTTTATAGCACAGTTGATATCCCTCCACAGTGTCATCTGAGAAGAGGCCCCAGCAAACTCTCAGTGAGGTGCCAGTTGCTGCATTTGGAGCCTGGGGATTGATCACAGGGGCACAAGGAGCTGCAGAGGGGAAAACAGGTCAGTTTTTGAATGTACAAGCATGATATGTTGTCCTTCTCCTCTCATAAAGGTGTTTGCACAAAGCCTTGGCACTGAATGGGGTCATATTCCTCCCACATGGAGAAAAGTCAGGAGCTGATTCCATAAACAGTTGCAGATAATAATCAGGTTACTGGTGTGTGAGAACTAGTCTTGCTCCAAATTAAAATGAAAACAACAAAATAAATAAGCCTCAGCCTACCCCTTCTCTGTAAACTCGACCTCCCCTGCTCTGGGGGCTGGGATTCACCAGTGAGCAACATCTGCCAAGCCTGCTCTGCTGTGACCCCCCCCCGGGGGCTCGGAGTCTCTGGAGGAGATGGGGGAAGAGCTGTACAACAGGGGATCAGCAGCACAAGCAAACAAGGAACAAATGCTATTTTACTTTAAAGAAAACACAGTATTTGTGCATAAAAACTGCTCTTTCTGACCATTTGTGATGTCCCAGAAAAGATTTTAATTTTTTTTTTTCAGTTATTATGACTTAAATTAAAACTGTGTTTTGCTCTGTTTCCTGTTAATAGGAAAAAAATTTGCTGAATAGCAGAGGAACAAGGCACTGAATCTGGTTATCAAGAGAAGCTGTGCAGGTTATTTAAAGCAGTCTGGTGTTCCTCTCTTTCTTTCAAGCAACTACAAGGTAAGACACATTATCACCAACTAAATATGCCTGACCCCTGATAGAAGGGGGTAATCTTTGTCAGTCTTCTAGGAAATCATCCAGCAAAACCAGGGAAGGCCAAACTTAGCAGTTCAGGTAATTTTATACTGAAAACAAATGAAAAAAATAATATCCAAAAATATCTGCCACTGTCTCTGTTAAATAGATGCAAACAAAAAACAACCCTAGAATGAAAACTAGGGAGAAGGTAATCCTGCTGTTGCTGTTCTCCTTTAAAAGAAGTAATGGATTTCTGTTTAATACATATCCTTAATTAAATGTAAATAGGTCTGAAATAATTATCAGATAGGAAGAGTACCTGGAATAGCATTAATGGAGTTCATTAGTTGTTCAACTTCAGAGAAATCTATGACCCGCTCTTCAAAGTCTGGCAGTGTTGAAAGCTCTAAATTCACTTCTTGCTTTAAGAATTCTTCCAGCCTGTAGTTGCAGGGAAAAATAATATATTTCTAACTGGAAGTACCATAGTGTTGGAGATACCTATTTGTAAGAGAAAAAGAACAGCACACTGCAAATTAACATGTATTTCATTAAAATTTTGTTTTCACAGTTGTACAAAGCTCAGGCCCCCATGCCCGTTGCTTGGAGATACATTGGATCAGTGCTCCAAGATGCCAAAGAGAGCTGGATGCTGATGGGGCTGAGGGACCTCCTTTGTGTGCCCCCTCATGAGTGAGCTGGCTGCTGCACACTGCACTCCTACTGAGCAGGGGAGTGAGATTTCCCCAACCTCTTTATGCAAGGTAATCTATTAGCTCCATAATTTTCATTATTTTGAATTTACAACACCTACTAATTCAGGACCTTGTGGCTCTAGGTGTCGTAAATTTGGAAAAAAGGGGTATCTTTTCTCTGTGTTTTCATTAACAATTACAGTCAATTAAAAGAGGTGGGTTTTTTGCAATTGGTTTAGTGTGCCTCAAGACTTCTTCCAACTGCTCCAAAATCTTTCAGTATTTGTTTTGAGTTCCCACAGCTTGACTTTCTACCCTGCTATACTGATGCATAAATAAGCCTGTTACTAATCTATTTAGGGAGCTCAGGTTTAGTCCCATTTATATCCAGAGCATTTCTTTCAAGATCTTTAGCAATCCTGTTTCTCAGTCAGTGAAATTAGTTCCTTATGACTAAGATGAAAACAGTGATTTAACAGAGGCTCTAACTCTCCTTTTGGGTTTCCTGAAATTGGATATGAACTAGTTTTGACTGTTATACTTCTTAGAGCAACTTTTCCTGATGCAGTTTAAAACAAAAATACTAAATACTTCAATAGCTCTAGTGGCCTAGACAACATTTGTGTGCCTGCACAAAGTCCAGAACATGCAGGTATCTCCAATAACCAGTCCATTTAACAGGAAAAAAGGTGACACAAAATCCTAGACTGTCATACTACCTGTCAACCATGGTTACTGCTGCCTGTAGAAAAAGAGAGAGAGAGAGAGTGTTAAAGATGGAAAAGTCCAGAGTCAGACTACATCTTGCTGTTGACCTGTCTTACATAAATTGCCCCAAATGCAGCCTTTGGAGTGACATGATTGGCTGCCACCCAGATCTGAGAACAAAGTCATGTCTAACTGTCCATTCAAAGGGACAGATCTTGGCTCAATTTACAGTAGAATAAAGTGCAATATCAGGCAGTGACCTCCCAATTAGACTCTAGGCTGATTCCTTCCTAAGTTGTCTGAAGTGCCAACAGATTCTTCACAAACAAAACTCAAAAACAGCTGGGGAAAAGAACTGAGTGAAATGATCTGCACCAGAGGGAATATGAGCAGTGCAAGTAGCTGGAAGAGAGATGTACAGTCCCTGGAGAAACCTAAGCAGCTGAGAGCTCGTGACCAACAGGTATTCACTTCTTGGTGAATAATGGTTCTTAGGGGTGATGTAAAACTGTTTACAAGCTAAGGAGAAAATAAGGTTATTCCGGGGATTCAAAGGAATGGGAAAAGTTAACTCATGCAAAGAACTCAGCATGAGTGCCACAGCAAACTGATCCACTGGAGCAGACTGGAGGTGTTTAGGAGATTAGTTTGTTGTCCAGTTCATAAGTTACTGTGGCTGTGCTACAGAAATACTCCCATCCACCTGAGTCACAAGACAGCTCAGGTTAGAGCAATCACTCATCAGCAGTGAAAATTCTCTTTTTTTCCCCAATTATTTTTCTACCTGCCAAAGCAAAATAACTTCTTGACACCATCTCAAGAGAGGGATGCATCCTTTGCTTTGCAGGAGCTCCTGATGTATTTAGTTTGGAGCCTCCTGTTCAGCTGAATTTTCCAAAAAAATGAGGAAGAAAAAGAAACATTCTCCAAAGTGATTGCATCAGCCTGCCTGCTCTGAGCCCAGAATAGAGCAAGAGAGCTGAGCCTGCAAGAGGCACTGAACACTAAGTGCTTCCAGAGTTTCCTGAGATAAACATTCTAGGGAGATATCTTCCCTCTGAACCCCAGTGTGACTCACAAATCAATGAGCATCCAAATTACAAACTTCTGCTTCTGTATTTTGCCCCAATTGTGTTGCCCTACTAAGTTGATGCCACCATGGCAAGAACCTGGAGCACTGACAGCAGCATGGACTGAGTACCCCGAATGCTCTCCAGAATAAAGCTGCTTGGGACTTCCCAGCTGGGGACTACTTGCAAGCAGCAAAAAGCACTTGGAAGGGGCCTTAACAGTTAAAGCTCTTTACCTTCATAAATTCAGCTTTGTCATTTTCCAGGAAAAGTTCATGAGTTTTGTCTGTCAGTTCCTTGCAGGTGTCGAGAAGTTTCCCAGAACTGACCAGCTGCTCATATAGAGCTTCCAGCTTCTGCCTCTTCTCTTCCCCCAGTGCTTCCAGCTGTTCTTCATACTTTTGAGCAAGCACTTGTACTGCGTCGTTGTAATGCGCCTCAAAGTTCTGCTCCTGCCTCCCAAAATTTTCCTGCAAGGCATTTGGGGGTTTGTACCTTGGCATCAAGCCTGATCCATAGGTCATCCAGAGAAAACTCCAAGTCTGCTTAAAATGCTCCTTACCGGGGAGGCAACATCATGATTTAATTCACAAAGCCAGGACACAGTGCCAGTACACAGAAGATGGAATTTGACTAATTTTCATTTTAGGGGAATGCATTCTGATCATTCACTCCACTGAGGTACAGAAGAATGTTGGATTTTGTTCCAGACATAAGAGCAACAGAAGTTATAAAAAAAAGTAAGATACAAGGCAACCTAAGCCCAGGGAGCACAACTAGGTTATATCCTAGCCATAATCTCACAAGCGTTTCCACCAACAAGCACATCCTTCCATGAGAGAAACCATGGCAACCCAGTGGGATCCATGGATTTGTGCTGGGGGAGCTGAGCAGATAATGCTGATATCCTCGCTCGCTGCTGGAGAAAGCATTAGGAAGGAAGATTTAAGGAGCAGGCAAGGCTTTATTGTCAGCAGCCACCCACTGCTTGGGCACCAATATCCTCCTGTGCCACATGGAGCAGAGAAAAGACCATAGGTGCCTTGAGTCATTGCTTCAGTTTGACTTGCTGCCAGCTGACCCCCTTCCCCTGGGGCCAAGCTGACAGCAGCCAAGCAGGAGCACAACCCTTGAAGTCATCAGCTTGATACAGCTGGTCCAGGGGTTTGCCTGTATCTGACACTTCTGTGAATGAAAGCAAGGGAACATAACGGGTGCACTCAGGATGGACTAGTTAGATCACAGGTCTTTGGCCATTTAAAACTAAGATAACCTGAGAGGGGAGGAGGGGACCACTTCATTTCTGAATGCAAATTTCTATGCAAATGCTAAATATGGTTTTATTAGTCCACATAAAGAATTCATTAGGATTAGTTTTCCTGAGTACTTCAATCTAGGCAAACCCCAAGATAACTCTGTGCTCTGTTACTATAATTACTCACTTCATCAACAACTGAACACTATGAGTGTCAATATGACTGTCAAAATTGTTTAACACCAGTACCATAAAGTTAGCCCAAGAAAAAATGCCTTACCTCTACAGTGAGGAAGATTTCCTCCAAATGACTGGCAACATTTTCCATCTGAGCAATCTGTTCTTCTAACTTGCACATGTTTTTATGAATCTCTTCCTACAAAACAGCCAGTGTGATTCTTATTATGTCTGAACAGTGGCTTAGAGGCACCGCAGTAGACCTGTATTACTCTCACCTTTTCACTTTCCAAGGCATTGGGCAGTTGAGTCACCTCATGATCCTTGTGCTCACCAAACAGTTTGTCAAAAGCTCGGATGGGTATCTTGCAGGTAGAACAAAAAACATTTGCCACTTCCTCCTCTTCCTCCTCCTCCTGCTCCTCACTGACAGCCTGACTGTTCCACTCATCTGACATGCCGCCACTGCTAAGCCCCTCTCTGGACCATATGTTGCTCTCAACCTCATCATCTGCTATGGTTTTGCTCTGATCTTCATCTTGAGAAGCCTCGCCAGGAAGTCCTTGTTGCTTTGTGCTTTGACTTTGATCTTTCACTGAAGTGCTGCTTTTTGATGTGTTATATATGGAGCCTTGTGATCCTGCTTTTTTTGTGCGAGCAGGTGGCCATCTGCTCTCCATCTCCACACGTCCTCCAAGAAGCTCAAGCTCTTTTTCTTTATCCTCATCAAGTCCATACATCTTAGCCAGCTCTGCAACCTCCTTTTCCATGTCGTAGCCAATTTCTTGTGAGCACTGAACTTTTTCACTACTCAATACAGATTCTCTTCTTGTATCCCCCAGAGATCTGTCTTCTCGACCAGACAGCTCTTCAGGAAAGATATCAAACCTCTCCTTTGATCCATAAAGATCCATGTGATAAAATATCAAACCTTCAGACTCTGTCTCACTGGACTCTGGGACCGGTGGGGAAGCTGAACGGCCACGTGACTGGCTACTAGTTTCATACTCTCTTGTGCTGCCAGATCTGGATGACATTGGTATCCTCAGCAAGGCTTTTGAGATGTCAAGTCTCAATCTTGTAAAAGATAAGAAAGATCTTTAGCTACATACTTAGATATAAAGCATGAGTTTTTCTTGCTTAAAAATATGTAGATGGAATAGATTTGGCTGAGGACTGCCCAGGTCCTGGAGGTAGGCATGGGAAAGACCACAGCCAGTAGCTTCACTTCCTGAGTGAACTTCTGAAGGGAAGCCATGGGAGGCTTGTTTTTTTCTCACCTCTGTGCAAAGCACAGCAAAGAGCTGTCTCTGGTGTGCTTCCTGTTTTCTGAGTGGCTCATCTGTTACCATCATGCCTGATTTCCAAACTATAGACTAGCCCTGTCCTGAGCTCAACACTACAGCTGTGCTTCAGGCACAGTTAGTGCTGTTCTGTGCAATTGGAAATGGCCTGGTTTGAAGTCTGCTCACCCTTCAGCTGCTGTCAAGAGTGTTTTCTGAACTGTCAGTCAGGCATAATGTAGAACGTCCTCTCTTGTGACCAGTGATGCCACATAACACACTAGAAAATGCCTTGAAAAATCCTGTTCTGGATTTTTCAAGTTGCCATTCTTAATACTAAAACTTGAGTCCAGGTCTTGGGTCCTTTCTTTAAAATAGTGCAGGGAAAACATAGTGCCCTTTGGGGGTGTTCACAGTTCTCAGGTGCTGTGAAAAAAATATATTTTAACATAAAAGAAACTCAGAAAAAAGATCAATGATGATCTCCATTATAAAGCACAGAATAACTAGGGAGCAAGGCAGGTCTTTGGCCTGTGAGCTGAGAGATGTCTGCTCTGACACATACCTTGCACATTTTGTCCACTCTGTGCAATGAGGGATGTGTGAAAAGAGCATGTGGAGGTGACATGCAAAGCTGTATGATAAAGCATATCCCAGATGCACATGGGACAACATTAAAGGTGCAAAGGCAATTTTAATGCTGACTCTCCAAGCCCACTCTTTCCAACCAGCCTATATTAACAACAGCAATGAAATAATGCCAGTATAGAGTCAGCTCTGTCAGAGCTGAAACCTTCCCACAGCTTTTCACTGCTCACCAGCATGAATGAAATCATGGCTACAAAACTACTCAGATCAGTTTTATCAGCGGTTTACTACCACAAGCAGAAGAGTTCATGGAAAGATTTCAGCTGAATATTAATGAACCTGTCTAGTCCTAGATAAGTGAAGCATATGAAAGCTTTAAAACCACTTTTTTGCTGAAAAAAAAAGGCAAAAGATCAGTCAGACACCAGTGTCATCAGAGCTTTTGGATAAGCTTTCACACAAGTTTGCTTTCAAACTACTTTTTATGGTCTTTGTAGTTTTGAGTAGTTGCTATTACCTCAAATTTATTTCATCAGTATTTTACTAATTTTCCTGAGGATTACTTAGCTAACAAAGTCAACACAGTCAGAAACTTTTTATCAACACTTACTAGAAAACAACTTCTTGAACTAGTGAAAAATACTGAGAAACTTTGCACTCTCTGTTTTTATATTCCTGACTCAGTCCAGCCTTACGGATGTGTAAGAAAACCCATATAGAAGTTCACCGTTTATATTCTGGCACTGCAGACACAGTGTGGATTCTACAGCTATAGCAATATCCTACTACAGACAAAACCACAGAAGTTAGGCAGAAATACCATTTATGCTAAAGGCAATAAAATAAATCATGCAAATCCTAACATGTTAAACAGAGAAAAGGTCTTGACACATACCAGAAAATGTTGTCTGGCTCTTGCAAAGACTTTTCCCACCATAATTATAACAGTAAGACTTGCTTTAGAAGCTACTACTAATTAGAAAAGTGAATTAACATGTATTTTTCCTACCAAAATGAAATAAAATAAAATAAATTAAAATGAGCATAATTAAGTTTGTCTGGAACCCTGCTGCCTAAATAAGATTTTCAGATGATTGCTCAGTGTTTGCTCAGTTTACAGGCACAGATACAATTACACGAAGCATGTTTAAGTCCGTGACCGTCAATTATCGTAAATATATAACAAAGAATGTTACTACCTAAAAACTTGCCTTCTATCTTAAGACGTCATAAATTCTTCTGATAGCTCAGATGGAATCAAAGTTCACTTCTATTTCCCCTAGTAAAAATTAATTCACACGAAAGCAATTGCTCGCCACTTTCCTATGACTGCAGTTGGGAGATGCATTGCAGTAACCCTAGCCTGCCTCTTTGCTGCGATAGGGACATGCCAGCAATGAGCAATGGCACAAATATAGATGTGCCCCGGCTGTCCTTCAGCAGTGTGCTACTTGAGTGTCACCAGGATGAATGTCATACACCAAGAAAAGGCTCTGAAGGTTGATTCCTGGATCTGAAGTACTTAGAATGGTTATAGAGAGCCCTCACTAAAGCCAGAGCACCCTCTCACTTTCGGAGGTGGTATTAATAAACCCTGCAGGGTGCAGTCATTGCCTCTGGGTGTGATTTCCAAGGCTGGGGTGTTAGGCAGACTATCGTGTGTGGGATACACAGAACCTGCATCCAGCACAAACTGACTCGCATGGCTGGACACATGCTTACAGCATTGCTGCACAACTACGTGTCTGTTCTGTTCTCTGCAAACACTTACTGGCAAAGTCCTCTCTATTAAGTTAGCAGAAGCTTTACTATGGGATTGAGTTGGAATCGTGATCATATATTAGAAAGAAATATTAAAATTCAGAATTTAGGAAAAAAATAGAAATCATACTGTTGCATATGCTTGTTATACATGCACATACATCCCCACCCTATGTGTATGCCAGACCTCTGGAAAGCTAATTATAGTGAAGAAAGTGGTCAGTGGGTTTTCATGGGAACATATCACTCCAGTCTACACTGAGTAGAGGTCCATATGATAAAAACCAGGCTGTGTATTAGCACTGATTACTGGTTGCTGTAGCACTTGAGCTTTGTGTATCTGCTCAAACCCACACACAGTCTGTTGCTTGTGAACACACTACCAAGCCAGGCTTGCTGGCAGGAGGTTTTTAAGCACGTTTGAGAACATTGCATTATATATGTCTTGGGCTCAGGAGACAGCACAAGGCGAAACAATCTTGTCACAGCTCTCCTTTTTCCTCCTTTTCCAATTAAACTTGGTGTCATTTTCTCACATTCCTAGCAGTGCCATTGTTTGCTGTTTGATAAGGAATCACAAGTTAATTGCCCATGTAGGCACGATCTCATTACCACTAACAGCGCCTTTCTCATCTGTAAGATCAGAACAGAGATGTTTTCACATAAATGATGCAGCCTCTGCTGAAATGTTAACATTTATGCTGTCTGACATCTTATTAATTTTTCAGATTAGAACTTATTTTTTCTTTGTATTACACTACACTACCTTGCAGGCTTTAATTTATTGAAAAATTAGCAGTGTCAGGTTCGCTGCCAAAGACTGGAACATAACATTCTGTGCGCCATGAATTGCATTCAGCCTTGCACACAGGGCCTGAATAAGGGAGAGGTGACATATAAACACTGCTCTGCTCAGTGGCCCCTGAGTCAGTGTTTGGGTGGTATTTATACAAAGTGTAGCGACCTCAGGGCTGAGTTGGATGTTGGGGCAAATGGGCACAGGGCATTGTGAGGAAGGAGTGTGGGATTTCACCTGCCTTCAGACACGACAAGGACTCACGTTTCTCAGTGACTACAGGAATCCTGGGCAGGAGGAGAACCACCTGCAGCCAGGGCTGTCCCTCAGGCAGCGGCACAAACCCGAGGATGCTGCTCCTTCCCAAAGGACTGTGTCCCCCCTGCTTCCTGCCTGCTGCTCCTCGCAGAAATAGCTGCTTATTTCACAAAAATTTTCCCTTCCAGTACCTGAAGGGAGAACTTACAGGAACGACAGGGCAAGACTATTTACAAGACCATGTAGTGACAGGACAAGAATCACAGAATCAATCAGGTTGGAAAAGACCTCTGAGTTCATTGAGTCCAACCTATGACCTAGCAACACCTTGTCAACTAGACCATGGCACCAAGTGCCACATCCAGTCTCTTAAATACCTCCAGGGATGGTGACTCTACTACCTCCCCGGGCAGCCCATTCCAATGTCCAATTACTCTCTCTAAAGAAATTCTTCCCAATGTCTAACCTAAACCTCCCCTGGCACAGCTTAAGAGTGTGCCCTCTTGTCCTAACAGAATCACAGAAGACAAGGGGGATGGCTTCAAATTGAGAGTAGGCTTAGATCAGATACTAGGAAGAGATTCTTTACTGAGGGTGAAGGTTGTGAGGCAATGGCACAGGTTGCCCAGTGAAGTATTGAATGTCCCATCCCTGGAGGTGGTCAGATTGGATGGGGCTCCGAGCGACCTCATCTAGCTGAAGGTTGCCCATGGCATGGGGGTTGGAACGAGGCGATCTTCAAGCTCCCCTTCCAACCCAAACCATTCCAAGATTCTACAAAGAACGACCTTTCCCGGAGCCGCCCCTCCCGCTCCTTTTCCTGTCTATTTTCCACTCTCGCTGTAGAGGCCCCGCCCCTCAGGCGCCCCGGCCCCGCCCCCTGACCCGCCCGCCAATGGGCGCGCGAGCCGCCGCTGACGCGCCGCGTGGCCCCGCCCCGCCCGCGGCCGGTTTCTGTTTCGCTCCGGGCCCGCGCGGGCGCTGTCGCCGCTGTCGCGATGGAGCCGCAGCCTGACAGCCTCGACGGGTGGGTGGCCGTGCGCGACACCGCCTTCGCCGAGCCCCAGCCGCCGCCGCGCCTCCGCTTCCTCGTGGGCTGGAACGGCGCGGAGGGCGCGTTCGCCGTGACCTGCCACGGCCGGGCGGAGGCGGCGGCGCAGGCCCCGCAGAGCTGGGCCGGGCTGTTCTCGGCGCCGGCCCTGCGCGGCGTCCACCGGCAGCTGTCGGCCCTGTGCCCGCGCCTCGAGCCCGCCTTCCCCGCGCTGCCCCCCGCGCTGCCCGGCGTGGCCACGGGCGGGCTCTGGGCCGTGCTGTTCCCCGGCGGCGCCGCGCCGGGCGAGGCCGAGCTGCAGGAGCTGTGCCGGGCGCTGGAGCTGTACCTGGGCTGGGCCCTGGAGCTCTGCGGCGGCCGAGTGGTGCTGGACGCGCTGTTCGCCGCCGACCGCCGCTGCGACGATGAGTACTTCGAGAGCCTCCAGGAGCTGCGCGGGAGGGCCCTGCGCGGTCACCTGGCCCGGGCCAAGGAGGCCCTGCGGCGGGTACGGGCCCCGGGTCGGGCGGGGCGGAGGGGCCGGGGCTCGGGGCTGTCCCCCAGGGGTGCGGGATGAGGGTGCTGCCGGGCCCCCCCTGCGCTCCCTGCAGGTCCCCACGCTGTAGGAGCACGTTTGCTGTTTGGTGCTGCAGCTCACCCTCGCTCGCCTGGGAGGTGCACGGTGAGCGTGGCAGCCGCTGCTGCGGCAGCTTCAGTCACTCGGGGCAAACTCTTTTGCAAGACTCATGTGAGCAAGGGCGACCGAGCCGCTGATACCATCTTGCTCGTAGTGTTGTCCAATGTCCAGATTTGTGCTTACACAACACTTTTTTTATTTGCCTGGGAGCCACCAAGTCAACTTTCTCAAGTACTAAGTGTCGTCAGTCTTGTAAGTGCAGCTTTATTAAGTGGGGAATAAGTCGGCTCCAGGTGGGCAGTCAATATAAGAACACTGGGGCATTTGCTTAAGCTGTAAGCACTCCTACGAAAACACATTGCTAAAAACATCCAGCAGTGTTGTGCAATGTGTGGAAGAGTAACCGAAGAGGAGAGTACAATCATGTGCTAATTTTCTAAGTCAGGTTTATTTATTAAAACCAAACTTTGCCCTAGTCCTATGCCAAATAAGTGTATTTTAGTCAGAGAAATTGTGTTATTTTTTTAAAAGTGTCAAATTCTGCCCTAATGATTGATGAAATAATGATGATGTTAGCCCTTTCTTCATTTAGTACCTTAGGTTTCTTCTTGTTATAGATGTATTCCTGGATTTTCCCCCCCCCCCTTGTTGTAAGCATGAATTCAAAGGATGGTGTCTGGTAACACAGTTGCAGAATGTTAAAACAAGAGTTACAGATAAGTTCAAGCTCACCAGTGTGTTGCTGCTACAGTTTCCTTGCAGTACCTGTTTCCAGTCTGTTTTCTGGCACAGTGAGCTGAAAGGTATTTTATGAAAGTGATCATGATTTGGAGGAGAGTTAAGACAGTTGACTTTAGCCTTCTGTTTCCTATTACAGTGTTTAACAGCTGTAACAACATTCCTGTTTCAGAAAGACACTGTTTTTAAAAAGACATCTTTAGTTTACATGAACGTGTACTGTGTTGTATACAAAAGTCAGTGTCTGTCACTGACTATAACAGTTCACAGCCCAGCCTCACACACATTCCAGCCACCACACTCTTTTGCAAGCAGCACAAACGTGTACAGCTGTGTAGCTGTTTGGGGCTTGAGGGTCAAGTACAACTTGGTGCCAGTTATTTTACTATTTCCAGCTACATTTTAGATATGGCTAAAGATGCTATAGAGTAGTGTTGTATTTGCAGGCCTAACAGGGACATAAGTTCATTATGTTTCATTCTAGACCAAGTTATACAAGATTCAAGAAATAGCCACTAACCCAGCCTTAGGTACCAGAGCATCCTTCTTCCCTCTTATCCATGTCCTTCTCAAATACTTCATCCTTTGGGCCAGGAAATTTATTTTAGAGAATATAAAAGGTACTGGTACAGGATGGAGGAGAGTAGTGTGGTGTAAATACTTCTTGTGTTGTGTGTTCAAGGAAAAAAACACAAGAACATTACTGTTGCAACCAAAGAAGTCAGTTGGGCTGATGGTGAACTGGAATTCTATGAAAAGAGTATGAGACTGTGTAAAAGCAAGGATTTTACCTTAAAACAGGCCAAATGATAGACATACTATACCACCCCTTCAAAAAGAAATGAACACCCGAACGAAAGAAGCCCAAATCCTTGTAAATGAATAATTGTCTCATGAGTTGACTTTAAAATGTCATCAACACGTCCATTGTACTCACTCTAAACATTCTCCAGGAGCAGCATGACCCTCACTACTTGCTTTTAGTATGGGAACCGGAAAGTGAAGTGTTAAGTTTGTGTTTGGCCTTAGTAGTGGGGCAAAAGCAGACTGTGGAATTGCTGCAGGTGGGCCCTTGGACTGTGTCTGAGCTACCACAAGCTCCTGGGGAGCCCTAAGGGGCTGCTAAACATCTGGGATTATCAGTAACACTGCAGTTCAGATCCTCTTGTTCCCCTGTCTTGCCTGTGCCAGACCTGCAGGCAGGATGGATGGGAAATGCCCTTGAGCTGACTTCCACAGATTTGCCCTGAGGAAATGCATCCACGCATGGGAATTCTGCTCCTGCTGTCTTAACCCAGACTCAGCTGGCAAGAGCAAAAGTGATGGTTTAGTTTCAGTGGTTTTCAGTTGCAACACAATCAAGCTTAGTTTTTTAATGCTTTTCCTCATTGTTGTAGCACACCCCTCCCTCCTATCCCCTTCCCTCTTCCTGGAGCTGCAGAGCACACACTGTCCTTCCAGGAAGGTCTGTGTTTCTCAGTGGTACTTCACTGTGTTCTCTCAACCAGCACACTCTATCCTGGCATGTGGAGCATGCCATAGTCTCTGCCAGCTGCTGTCAAAGAAAAAGTCTTTGAAGCTTTGATTGGTGCCAGTAAACAAATGCAATTAAAGGGAAGTCCCCAACTCTGTATATTGTCATGGAAGCAAGTAAAGACTAAATAGGGTCTAGTGTATTAGAAAGGCAGCAGTTCCATGAAAGAATTAT